GAGGAGGAGGAGGAGGAGGAGGAGGAGGAGAAAAGAAAGAAAGACAGAAAGAAAAAGAAAGTAAGGAAAAAAGAAAGAAAAAAGAAGGAAAAAAGAGATTAAAAAGAAAACCAACCAACCTTATTCACAATTGTAAAATGTACATTGAGACAGGTATAAGGTAATATTTTCCCTCAATTAATTAGAACATTGATAGAGTTCATTTAATGGTGATACTCTGTGCTGTCCACGCTGGATGAAATGGGCACATTCATTTAGGTTAGGAGCACTGAAAATGTGTACAACTCTTCCAGAAGGCAAACGGGGCACATAAGTATGGAGCCAAAAATCATCCCCAGGCCCTTTGACCTAGTAATTCCCCTTCTAGGAATCTGTCCTAATGAAATCTACCTTCGGACAGGCAAAAACATATGTACATGAGCCATAACAGGAAAAAATTTAGGGGAAAAAAGCTAGCCTAGTAATGAGACTAGTTATATAAATTATGGAAGGACCACAGTCTGGAAAATTATGAAATCATTAAAGTGATATTTACAAAGAGCTTTTAAACAGCAAATACAAAATATAGGATTGTGTTAATTATGATTACAACCATGTGAAGGAAAATCTGCATAAAAATAAAAGACTGAAAGAAATGCACCCCAATATGAACAGCATCTTTATTAAGTGGTAGGATTTTGTTTGCCTTTGCTTTTTCTCTATTTACTAAAAATTGTGAGACTTGATTATATTATGTTTTTCATGAAAACACCATCAGTTTGTATCAAAAGAAACAAACATCGTTTCCTGGCCATTTCTAGTGAGTCTCCTCCCAACACAGAACTGGTGATCAGAGTGAAGTTTGTCTTAGTGTTCTGGCAAACCTGTTTTCCATGTCCCTTCTCCATGGCGCCCAGTATCCCATACTGCTGCTCCCAGGCTGCATAGGATCCCCCAGTGGGGATCTCTCTGGACCCCACACAGCATTCTTCCCCGCACATCCTGGCCCCATTTGTTCTTTCATTCATTCATTTATTTTAAAAAATCTGTATTAATTACTCACTTTGTGCCAGGCACTAAAGATTCAACTATGGGCAAATGAAACTACTCCTTTCATAAAAGATTTAACAGTGCAGTGAAGGAGATACACAGGTTGGTAACAATTTACAAAACCTTGTGAGAAGTCAATGGCCAAGATATAAACAAAGTACTGTGAGAGCAGAAAGGAGGAAACATCTAAGTCTGCCTGGAGATGGGGGGGGGGGGGGGGGGGGGGGGGGGGCGTCCAGAAAGAGAACATCTTGTGCAAAGGCAAAGAGATGGGAGAGAGGTTGTCATATTCTTAAAGCTGTAGAAAGGGGATGTTAGGAGATAAATCTGCATAAGCAGGCATGAACTGAGGAATGGCCCTGTAAGCCATATTATGGAACTGGACTTTCTCCTGAAGGCAGTAGGGAACTACTGCAGGGTTTTAAGTGGAGAGGGAAAGAGTCAGAGCTGCAGTTGGAAAAATCACAGGGAGCAGTGAAAAGCCTGGTCTGAGTAGAGAGTCTGAAGTAGGTAGATCAGCCAAGAGGCAAAGAGATGCTGATACAAGCCAGTGTCACTGGGGCTGGGGCTGGGGTAGGATTCTATGGGTAGAATTGACAGAGCTTAGGGGAATTGTAATAAGAAGGATAGAATTTAGGACAGCTCCAAAAGTTATAGTTTGGGTGAGTGTGTGGATTCCGGCTCTTGATAGAGAAGATAATTTGGGACATAAGGAACTAAACCTTTAGTTTAGACAATAAGGGAAGGGGTCACATGCCATTTCTTGGAGCTCCCCTTTGCCATGGAGTTTTACAGTAATATTCTATATATTATAGTTGAGTAGGCGGCTTAAATCCCAAAGATCAGGTAATGTGGCTTTGACAGAGGAAAAGCAGGTAGGCGTTCATCATTCAACAATCTATAAAAATGAGCTCTGTCCAGAACAAGCACACAAACAAACCCACAAACCCACCAAAATCCCACCCTTGTTTTGTTTCCAAAATTATCTTTTGCCCACTTTCCTTAATAGCCAAAGTCACGCTTATCAAAAATAAGTTCTTACCAGATAACTGAAGTGCAGTATGAGAAAAGGCGAGGAGTCTTTCTATGGCTTTTGAACTGAGCTAGGAGGAAAAATCCTTAGCATGGATTTTTTAAATCTCCTTCAACTCCAAAGCACCATTCCCTGGACCCAAACTGAATGCCTAAGCCCAACCACCAAACTTTGTCCACAAGATGATCATTTTAACCAAAGACATATGCACAGCACCCACCTCAGTCCCAGACTAAGTCCCTAGCAATCCCCCATTCACAATAGCTGGTCCAGACCCTATTAGCCAAGGGTCTCATCCTGACACATACAGCCTAGCTCTGCTTAATTTTTTTTGAGGTTACTCCCCCTCTCCCTTTCCCCAATTCAGGCATATTTGTACCTGCTTTGAAGTTGCGGCTATTTCTTCTTGCCAAGGCTTACCAGATCTGGTCATCTGAAGAGTATAGCTGGTTCTTTTACCCAGAAACCAACATGAAAATCTATCCCTCTCCCCACCTCCCCAAATAAGGTAAGAACAAATAAGAAAATCTCAAAACAACACCAGCCAAAAAAGAGAGAGACAGAGAGAAAAGCCTTTGAGAGATGAGTCAGCCTAGATGCTTACAATTATGAAGGAAATCAAAGGCCTTAGAATAAACCGTTTGTCATTGCCTCCTGCTCAAAGATACAGGGCTAAACTTAAGAGCAATCATATGCTGCTATTCTGCCAGCAAAACTGACACTGTCTTGCTTGCTTTCAACCCTCTCAAGCCACCAGAAGAATACAGGACAGAAGTAGAGTTAGGAAGGCCAGTGTGCCCAGACAGGAAGCAGATGGGGGCGGGGGGGGGGGGGGGGGGGGGGGGGGGGGGCAAGTAAGCAGGTTTCAACACCAAAAGAGACACAGAAACAGGTTCTTGAGATTTGAATACTTGTCCTCAGGCTTGGTTTTCCAAGCTGAGTACAAAAGGAGGCTCCTCACAGGGAACAAGGTGCCAAGAGACCTCTCCTGCTCCAAAGTGTCTTCCTCTTCCCCTTTCAGCATGCCTTAGGGCTGGCCTGAAGTGACCATGGCATCAAAAAATATACAAGACAGAAGAGGAAAGCAAGGCCTCTCAGTTTCAGCCTAGAATTCAAGACATTTGCAAAAACAAAGTCTTTAGACATGTATCTGCAGGGGCCGCTGGAGTCAGAACTAAATAGAATGCAGTTCAAAGCCAAGCTTTACAATATCTTGGCTGTGTGACCTTAGGAAAATCAGTTGAATTCTCTGAGCTTCAGTGACTTCCTATATAAAATGGGAAAATGATGCAGTACCCATTTCAGCAGTTGTGTGAGAATAAATGAATAATGCATGCGTGATATTTAGCATTGGTTTTTAATAAAAACGTTGATCTTGAAGGTTCTTTGCAAAGGAGTTTACGAGAAAATATCAGGTTTCAAAAGTAATTACATAAAATTAGAATTTGTATCAATGCATACAAAGTCTTACTCTGTTCAAGCTCTACTAAATTTGAATTAAATTAAAACAGGTAAAGAGATCTTGGGAGACTGTTGGGAATAGGTCTTTCTTCTTCAGTCTCCAACAGCCTCAGGGTCAAGTTTAAAAAAAGTCATCTTACAAAATAGGAAAACTAACTGCATAGATCAATTTTTTAAATGCTATTATTCAGGTTAGCAAAATGCCTATATGTCTCAAAATTTTTTTTTCTTTCAAACCATCCAATTTTACACTGACACTGGCAAAAGAAAGCATAATTAATTGTATGTAGATCAGTAGAGGGGCTAGGATATTAGCAGATGCTGAAACAGAGAATTTGAACAAAGACCAGAGGGAGACCCAGAGCAAGTCTCCAGAAATACAAAAGGGGGAAACA